AGCCTAATCATCTTTTGTTGGATGATTAGTGGTGTCATGTAGATGTGCAGTAAGGTTTCGGAATTTTGATTTTGCCCCGGGGGGTCAAATGGGGGTCGAAAAATGACGTTTTTTGTGCAAAAAGTCCCGTCTTCCCTGAACTCCTTCTACATTTTACTCAGCAGCCAAATCACCTTTTGGGGGATGGTTGGTTGTGTCATTTAGATGTGCAGTAAGGTTTCGGAATTTTAATTTTGCCCCGGGGGGTCAAATGGGGGTCGAAAAATGACGTTTTTTATGTTAAAAGCCCCATATACCCTGAACTCCTCTTACATTTTACTTAGCAGCCTAATCATCTTTTGTGGGATGATTAGTGGTGACATGTAGATGTGCAGTAAAGTTTTGGAATTTAGATTTTGCCCCGGGGGGTCAAATGGGGGGTCGAAAAATGATGTTTTTTGTGCAAAAAGTCCCGTCTTCCCTGAACTCCTTCTACATTTTACTCAGCAGCTTAATCACCTTTTGGGAGATGGTTGGTGGTGTCATGTACATGTGCAGTAAGGTTTCGGAATTAAGATTTTGCCCCAGGGGATCAAATGGGGGTCGAAAAATAACGTTTTTCATACAAAGAGCCCTGTTTTCCCTGAACTCCTCTTACATTTTACTCAGCAGCCTAATCATCTTTTGGGAGATGGTTGGTGGGGTCATGTAGATGTGCAGTAAGGTTTTGGAATTTAGATTTTGCCCCTGGTCAAATGTGGGTTGAAAAATGACGTTTTTTGTGCAAAAAGCCCTATCTTCCTTGAAGTCTTCCTTAATGTTACTCAGAAGCCTAATTATCTTTTAGGAGAGTTAAATATTTTGAAAATTATGTAAAACATCAATGTCAAGGGGTAACAAGATGTGTTTGTGAAACACTATGCGCCCGGCGTCAACAAAGTTCGAAAAAGCTATTTTTAGCATATAGTTCACAGTCAAGGTCACAAGGTCATTGACCTTGGTGTTATTTGTAAGAACTCAATTAGTGGGGTATGCATACTAAATATGAAGTCCCTATCTCCTATGGTTCAAAAGTTATGGCAAAAAGTGGAAAAAGCTATTTTTAGCATATAGGTCACAGTCAAGGTCACAAGGTCATTGACCTTGATGTCATTTGAAGGAACTTAATTAGTGCAGTATGCATACCAAATATGAAGTCCCTATCTTCTATGGTTCAAAGGTTATGGCAAAAAGTGGAAAAAGCTATTTTAAGTATAAAGGTCACAGTCAAGGTCACATGGTCATTGACCTTGGTGTTGTTTGAAAGAACCTTTTTAGTGGAGTATGCATACCAAATATGAAGTCCCTATCTCCTATGGTTCAAAAGTTATAACAAACAGTTGAAAAACCTATTTTTAGCATATAGGTCACAGTCAAGGTCACAAGGTCATTGACCCTGATGTCATTTGAAAGAACTTTATTAGAGGAGTATGCATACTAATTATGAAGTCTCTATTTCTTATGGTTCAAAAGTTATGACAAACAGTTGAAAAACCTATTTTTAGCATATAGGTCACAGTCAACGTCACAAGGTCATTAACCTTGATGTCATTTGAAAGAACTTTATTAGAGGAGTATGCATACCAAATATGAAGTCTCTATCTCTTACGGTTCAAAAGTTTTGGCCAAGGTTAAAGTTGACAACAGACAAACAGATAAACAGACAAACAGACAAACAGACAAGACAAAAACAATATGCGCCCCGAAAAAATTCGGGCGCATAAAAAAACATCGCATGCTGGGAAACACCTTGAATTCTTATGAGTAATTTATGTACATGTCAAATGTGAGAGTCATATCTCATCTCAATCAAAAGTTATAAGCAAATGCAACATTTTTGAAAAGTAGGTTAGGCTTGATCACTTCAAGGTCAAGGTCACAGAGTAAAAGTCATGATTTATTTGGAAAGGTCTTATCACAGGTAATAATATACATGCATTATGATATGAATGCCCTAACTTTTCTCTTTCAAAATGATGAATTTATAACAATTTAATTTTTTTGCAAGTTGGTCAAACTTCTAGGTCACATGTAAAAAAAAAAAACCATGCCATTCTCACAGGTAAATATGCTAATACATAAGTTTAATATGAATGTCTCTTCTCATTCAGTAGATGTGACCGTGATAACCAAGGTTAAATTTATTGAGACAGATGGACTGAGTCTGACATACAAATGTACATATTTCTATATGAATTGGGTAAAATTGGCCCAGTGGTTCTAGAGAAGTTAAAAATGTAAAAAGTTTTCAGAAAAACAGATGGACAACACATCACGACAGACATTATATGCTAAGGAAACCAAAAAAGCTCAAATGAGTGTTTTGAAAGGGTTACAATATGGTTGGAGCATTTGAAAAGCTGTTTTTTTTTCCTGCAGAGATATGCATGACCAACATATTCATGTTTTATATTTTCTTTTGTGATTTGTTTGTTTGTTGTGAATACATCTTCCCTCATATGGAGACACCACCAAATAATAATGAAGATAAGATGTGTTTGTGAAACACTGATGTCCCAGTATGGAAGCCTATGGCGAAGGTTGAAGTTTCTCAATATATATATCAAAATCAAAGGTCAAGGTCAAAGGGTTCAAATTGTTAGTATCAGAAGAAAGTCTTGTCACAAGGAATGCACATGTGAAATAAAGAAATCCCTAGTAATTCCTGTTCAAAAGTTATTTGCCAAGGTTAATTTTTTTGTTTAAGTGGTTCAAACTCTAGGGTCAAGGTCAAACATATTTATACCTGTTGACAGTTCACAATGAATACAATATGTCATGATAAGTATGAAAGCCCTAGCACCTACTGATCAAAATTTAGGCAGAGTTTAAAGTTTGGTATTTTTCTTGTAATAATGTGTATCCCATGTCAAGCGATCAGAGGTAAAAATTAATGGTACCCAAATCAAAGGTCTTATTAAATTGTCACAAGAAATAAACCTATGAAATGTGGAAGCTATTTGTATAGCCCATCCCACTTAAAACTTATGGGCAAGCTAGCTAGGATTTAATTTCTGCAGACTTATAGACAGACATACTATAAACACAAGAAACAAAATATGTATAATAATTAGTCAAATGGAAAAAAAATATACTATTTAACTGGAATAACAAAATACATTGTTATTTCAGGGACAGGAAGTGGGTAGGAAGATTGGAATCCCACCCATCCCCCCCCCCCCATCTGGCATTTGCTTTGTTATTTAAACAAGACTATATACTGTAGCAAGTAAAAAATGACTCTTGACATCCTCTCCCTATAAACTTAGAAAACATTGACCTCACTATCATTGTTTTTTTATTTGTTTATTTGTTTTCATTTTTTTTCTCCTGCTTGTCACGAAATTCTGGGCTGGAATTTTTTGACTGAGATGTGAACCCCCCTCCCTACTCCCGAAAATTCTGGATCCGCACCAGTATTGGCAGTAACTGAATGTCACATCGACAACGGGAGATAACTTCACAATATGAAATTCGTCTAGTGTGGCATGCGATGATCTTTCACCCTTTTTAAACTTTAACCTAATAGTTTGGGTGTATTGTATTTTACCCCCCACTATACACTTCTACTTACCGACTCCCTGTGTCTCAACTTCATGAAATATAAATCCAATTATAACTCAAAATGAATTAATCCAATGCACACCAGACTCAGCCATGTGCCATTTTGGCGAACTTTCGTCGATTCCATCACCTTATCAGATGAAGTGGGAATCGGCCGAGGTGTGCCAAATGGTGTTTAATCTATAAATATGATAATGGGTGACGCAACGTGATGTGATGTAGAAATTTACATGTTCACATGTACAGTACAAGAACAAATTTTAAATTAATTCATAACAAACGATATTAAATTTTAACAAACCTTTTCCATCTAGCGTATTCCAAAAAGTATGTGCTGTGTGATTGTGGTGTCGAAGGGGGGGGGGGGGGGGGTAGTAAATTAAAAAAGGTCCTATTATGAGCAAAACATATATCAAAATCAAATTTAATACGCGGATACAGAAATTTTTTCCGGGGGGGGGGGGGGGTCCACCTCAGTCAAAAAAAAATCCTATCCCAGAAATGACAATCAAAAAAAAAAAAAACCTAAAGTAAATCTCACCCAAACGTCAAAAACCTATATTGTGGGGGGTGGGTGGGAGTAGTGGTGACTTCTATTGCCGCAAATGTTTAACTTTTCATACTTATTTTACACATATTCGTGTTTACCAGGGGGGGATCTGCATTTTCCAAGGGGGTCCTGACCCCCCCCTCCCCCCCGACAGATCCGTGCATGAATTTACATCATTAATAAAATTCAGACTGGTATATAATGAATTAAACATGTATAAAATAAATATAAGAGGTTCTGAGTTATAGGTCACAGGGTCTGAGAATTTCATACTCAATTTGATGAATACATGTAAATTATAGAATTATTTTGACTATTTCTTTGGAAAGCCGCTTAATATGTAGGAGCGTGTATTTAGAGGCAAACACCTTAGTGCGGGTATTACTGTCTCATGACAGCATCTAGTTTTAATTATAGTTTAAATATTCTTTATTAATATACAATATAATTGTTCTGTTTTCTTAAGCATTAAGAATGAAATTAATGAAAGAAATAAATGATTTGTGAACGTGCAAGGACGTGTCAATCAAACCCGACCAGAAATTCGTTTTAGTAACTTTTAACTTTTAATAACTTCCAAATGAAATACGACACACAACATTCTACATACGTACATGTATGTCCTAGTATGCATGCATTAAACATGTTAACGTATTTTAAATTTTTTTTTCATAAAATTTAAATTTTTATTTTTTGAACTAGACAATATATAAAAAATTAATATTCATCATAATTCATGATTTCTTTCAATGTCATCAAAGTTGGCTCCAAGGAAGTTTACTTCCTAGAAGTTTAGTGAAAAGGTTATCTCCCTTTGTTTGACTGAGTAGACTATTTTAAAATGTTAACAGTCATTTTCTACCAAATAACACTGCAAGATAAATCAAACAGTTAAAATTATTTTCAGAATCAACTTGATAAAGAGTAGTTCTTCACATGATATGACACCTGTTTTCCTCGGTACCTGTTCCAGCAGTATGCTGAATTGGTAGTATCTTTGGTTTTTTGCGCGAAGGTCCTCCCATTTCTTCCTTTATAAAAGGTTTCCCGTCTTCAATTCCACATATGAACCGGTATTTTTTATTCCCACTAGCTATGCTGTACATGTTGTCGTCCTCGTCATAGATAGTGAAAGAGGCATTTTTCCACACACCAGCTGCCTCTTTTTGTAAAAAATCGATACAGGCTTGGAGTATTTTTCGAAGTCCTGGTTTTGCTTCAGTTCCTTCATGGCCAACATATCGTATAATCATCTTTCCCAGATTTCTTTTATTGATTTCATCAACTTCAAACACTTCGTCGACATACTGAAAGAAAAAATGAATTTGTTCAATAAATACAGTAACTATACGTGCGTATTCATTTCTATATAAAATCGCAGTAAGAATTTATTAATAAGATGATAAATTTACAATTTACTTAAAGAGATTTGATTATTAAGAGAGAGATGGGGAGGGGTTCTACACGTGCAATTGTAGAGTTGTATTCGTTTACAAGTTGAAAAAATTGTTTTACAAGTTGAAAAAATTCTTTTAGAATATATGATATTTATATTTAAGGAATAACTGTTTAGTTTGTTGGGTTATGGCAGGGCGTCAACGATAGTTGGAAAAGTGGGATAATTTACATAACAGGCGAAGCCATTTCTGCATAAATGTATCCCACTTTTCCAACTATCGTTGACACCCTGCCATGACCCAACAAACTAGACAGTGATTCCTTACATTTCCATTTCATTGTGAAATTTAAATGCTGTCTTATAGCTTTTAATTACATGAGGCCTCACATTTTATTTCAAAAGTCCCTGCCTCCTGACGTCAGACACAAAACAATTTTATGCGATCTTCCTGCATACATGTACTAGAATTGAGCTTTCTTAGCAAATCGCTTTTCGAAAAAGTACATTCCTGTTGAATTATCAAGAAGTTATCTCATAGAAAACAAATAGAAATGGAAATAAGAGGGTTGTTTAAAAAGTTTGTTGACGATGTCAATCGTTATTATATTACTCGCTAAAAATTAAAATAAGCACAATGTAATATGTAAAATATTTGTATGTTGAACTTTCATTCCATTCTATTTAACAAATATCAATTTAATTCATTTTATAATCAATAAGTTTTGTACCCGCGGAGCTCACTTAATGTCAAAATATAGCGTCAAGAATTTCTACAAAAAATATACTATCACTTAATATTTCAAAGAATATAATCCAACGCCGTCTCACTAAATCCTTTTTCTTATACCAGGCATTTTCCCCCAACATTTCTAGAGGGGTTTTTTTCAGGATTTTTTCCTTTAGTTAGTAAAACACAAAACTGAATCGTACTCTGCTGCTCCATGACTTTTTTGTTATTTGTTCTTGTTTTTATCATGGTTTTTGTTGCTTTCAATGAGGATGTCCTATCTCCTCAAGTTGATTTCTTTTCAACAAAGCAAAATATTAAGCCACAATTTGGAATACGAATCGATGTAACAAATCTGTGTTTGAATATCTAGTTTGTTTTTCGATATTTTTCCATTTTACAGAGAAATTGACTACAGACATTATTTAGTGAATTGTTTGTAACTTATTATATTTTGACCTGATCCACGATCCAAATTTTGCATTTTATGAAATTGTATATATTTTTTCATATTTAAAAAAAATTAAAAGAAGTCATTATGATTTATTGTTATATTAATATTTCTTCCAAATTTTGATAACAAATGACATCAAATAAAATATATATCAAAGAAGTCCACGAACGTTTCGAAGAACCCTCGTATATATTATGTATAATAAATGCTATATAATGTTGATGCTAAAATTACACTGACATTATACGTCATCCGATGAGTTCCGAGATTTTTCAGGATGTCCATCAATCTTTTTTCTTCAACTGTTGCCTAATTTCAAAAAGATGTAAAACGACATGAACATAAAAGAAATCACGCTTTTCAAACAAAAAATCGAATGATTATAGTTCCTAACTCTCTATATATATATATATATATATATATATATATATATATATATATATATATATATATATATATATATATATATATATACATAAAGAACTATATACACTGTAAATTTTAAATTGCAATTCTTGAAATGTACAAGCACAAACCTTAATCTGTAGATTGTTTAGTAGAATTTTCTAATTTTTTATCTTTTATATCATAATTTGTTAATGTAAGAAAATTAATGTTACTGAAAGATTTGTTAATGAAAACTGGTAAACAGTAAACCTGATATTTTTTTTTTTGGTAAATTGTACTTTTAAATTTGTACTTTTTGAAATGTTATTTAGTAACACCTATTGAGACTGTGAAGGGCACTGTATTTGGTGGTTATAGTTATTTCGCCTAAAAGTTAAAAAAAAACTTCTTAATCAATTGTTTGTATGTTGTTTAACGTCCCTCTCGAGAATTTCTACCTTAATTAAAATGGGATGTATACAAATCATTTATAATTTTAAAGGTACATGTAATTAGATATTGGAAGGAGAGGTGTATCATTCTAAAACATTCCCTTGTTGTGCATAAGATGTACATAAAGATAAATTACATTAGATGTGCATAAAGATGAATTACAAAATGATGGAAACTAAAGTAAAATTATTAAAAATCTTTCTGGAAACCTGCTACAGTTTAAAATCTGGATTCAACTGAATATGTTTTTTTTTACTGAAAAAGACATATCAGAATCTTCAGGCAGAGCAAGATGCCATTTTTATTCTTCTGCTATCTATTTTGGTTTGACGTCCATTTATGAAAATTCCCTTTTACTTTATCCATGACTTTACACATAGATCTGGGATATGCAAACAGTTGAATTTCTGAGAGTGACAATGCCAGCTATATCTCGCAAGCGTAGAGGGCAGATGATAGCACGACACGTTTTCATATTTCTGTAGATTTTTTTTATTGTAGATACATCAGGAGGAATGTCAATTTGTTAATACAAATAAACAACGAATGTATTTTTGATGAACAGTTTTTAACCTATTTGTCAGATACTAGAAGAGCTTGTGTGATAGTTTAATAAGTCCGTCATCGATCTAAGAGTCAGTCCGATTGTCTGTAAACTTTTTTCAGTGTTTATATGATGTCAATACAACCGAAACAAACGGAGAGTGATGTGTTATACGATTGGCGATTCTGTATTCGAAGCTATTTCCTGGAAATAATTATTAAAACAATCTAGAGTAAGGTTTACATGTGTTATTTTTAAGAATTACATGTATAGGTCCTGAGGTTTAAACCGTTTTTTTTTTGATTGATGAAAGAAAAAAAAGACAGCACAGCAAACATGTACATGTAAAGGGCTTATCATAATCATCACTTACAGACATGACACCTCTGAGTATATTGGTAGCCAAGGCGAGAGACTCGTTCGTATCTTCTCTTTCTTGATCCTTTAGAATTTAAAAAAAAGAGAAACTTTTATATTTATTTCAAGCAAATTCTAGACGAAATAAAAAGCTTTTATAAAAACTTGTTTCTTAAAATAATAATTTAAAATGTTGACATTTTTTAAATTATATTTTATTGTGTTCATTATAACCTTGACATCTAGAATTTAACTCAGTTCAGAGAGTTTTGTGTCAATTGTTGACAATACTAATGAAAGATAACAATACTTACTGTCATTTCAACATCTATAATTTGCTCTACAGTAACCTGGAGAAAGAAAATTATATTAAAAAAGATAAATAAAATTTTTCGTCTCTTCAGACGAAAGGTAGTTTTTTTATGCAGCCACCGTGGTTGGTATCATCTAATTAATTTTTTATTAACTGAACTGAGTTTATGGAGTTATCAAGGTTAAAGCTTCTTATTTAAGTTCAGTTATCGGATACAAAGTTATACTTCCAGGTTCAGTGTGGTGGCACAGAAACCTACATGCTTTAAGGTTTTTCAATCTACAAAACCATTGGAAAACTGAAGCTTCCTGGTATTCCCGGTTGTTTCCGATTTTTGGGAACCTGAAGTTTCAAATGTTTTCCATAGAACGGGAAAATTCTCCGTTTATCAAATTGGCCTTTTATAACAACACATATTTTTCACCTTCAAATTTCATCGTTAAATAGCTTTAACATCATAATAAATAGCAATCAATATAAATTAATATAAAAACATTCCATATAAATAAATATAAAAAAAGTTTAATAAAGTTTTCTTTTAATTAATTCTTTGTTTTTAATATTCCTATCAGGTTTTGCGTGTATCCTATCGTATCGTGCGTGTATCCTATCGTATCTTGCGTGTATCCTATCGCATCGTGTATCATGTCAAGAATAACGTTGCGGGTACTGTATTTGTACATGGAAACGTGGAGTAGTAATGTCTGTGGTTTGAAAACTAGATGGACATAAGGCAAAGATTATAAGCAACGACTTCAAAAAATACCTGGTCTGTGTACCCCGTCAAACCTATATATTATATACATCATTTGGTGCTTGAACCTGTTTGACATTTACTTCCTAGTCCCTGTGTATGCCTAGCTTGTACTTCTTGTTTGAGACTCTTGCTGACCTTCAAATTACCATTGGATCTTTTATCTGACCGTACATGGTACATATATGCATGTAAGTAAGGTGTATCACTATGAAACTTCTTTTTACTTTGAAATTGCCTACATCTACATAGCCGAGCAGTTAAGCGGAGTATTCCTGAGACAAATTCCATAAGTCCCGAGTTCAACCCCGTGCTGAAACGGGTATTCATATAAAAGTAAATTTCTTTGTGCTTTCTATATTGATGTCTTCACTTAAGAGCACTTTGTTTGTTTTAGAGTTGTGCTTTATAAATAAAAATGAATTTGATTACACCGTTTTGCTAATGATCTTCTTGTACAACGAATATCCAAATAACTCTATCTCAAATCAATCATCAGTACCTTCATTTTGGCTATCGAATAGAATTTGTACCATTGTTAGTGATAGGTCACGAAGAAAGGAAGGCCTGGAGTTATTGAAAAAATATCTTCTGGATCAGTAATATCCCTTTAAAATCAGAGAAGTTATTATTGATAAGGCAGAACACCTACAACGGGACCAATAAATTAATTCAATCTATACAGACACAACAGAGTTTACAGATTTGACAGTACTTCTTTTGTTCAGACCTACAATCCCCTCCCCACCCCCAAAAAAGAAACATGACTCCAATTGTTCAACATCACAATCTTAAAACTGATGAGAGAATGTCAAAAGTACCTCAATATTGCCAATGTATTAATAGTAAGAAACAACCAAAGAACCTCCGCATCTTATTGTGCAACTCGTATTTTCAACAATATAACGCACATTCAGGTAGCAAATGCCCTGATGTTTGTTACGGAACATGTCTGTACATGAAAGGAGGGAACACTTTTAAAATTCGACCCAAAGATTTTAAGGTAATGCAAATATGTCTCGTCATTTTAAAATCCTCCATGTTTTGTTTTGGTGTTTACCAGCAGAGAGGTATTTGAAATATTAGAAAAGCGAGGATTTTTTATATTTTGATTGAGTAAAGATTATTATAGTCACAAAAAGCTTTCATGGACTGTTAATATACATAAATGTTGTGAAGAATTTAAATGAAAAAATAAAGATGTTAAAAAGGAAGTCAGGAGATTTTAATCTTAAAAAATAAACTACAGGTTTTTAGAAAAAAAATATCTAGGCCTATTATTTATTTAATTTTGTAAATCTATGTACACAATGTTTGCATTTCCACTAGTTTTAAAAATCATTGCAGTGAAGATATAAGATTTTTTAAAATTTTTAACGGCTTCATGTAATGGAAGTTCCATGCATATTCCATGCAACTCTCGAATAAAACAGAACAATGTATTAAATGACCGTAAATCAAAATCATGCTACCATTTAGCCGTCACAAAAACAATGTAAACAATTTATTAGAGAATTTCTAAATGAATGGTTTTTATTTTACGTATGAACAAGTTATCGAGAGTCTTTAAAAAAAAGTTGAAAATATAGGGAATTATGACATATTTCTATTTTTTGCTTGTGTTTGCCTGACAGATATGGTACGTATATAAAATGACGACAACAGTCGCGGTTTCAATCGCATTTGGCCAAGAATAAAAGAAAACCAATCTAATAAGTTATTTGGGTACATGTATCAGTGTAACAATCATTGAATATGTTGGTCAACAATGACCCTAAATTTCAATCTAACTAACACCACAAAAAAACCTACGTGAGCAATGTGGCTAGGGAAAAAGAAAAAAAAAATTAATTTAGAATTAAACAGCTAAAATGCATGAGTAGTCCCGACCTACGTGTACGCCTAAAAGGTAGAAGGGGTACGGGTGAAGGGGTACATCTGGAATACTTCAATGTAAAACTTTGTGGCTGCATCCTTTCCAGGGGTTCATGATTTTGAACAAACTTGAATCTACATTACGTATAGAAGCTTTCACATACACACGTGTTTGAACGATCATGGTTTTGGTGTTCTTGGGAAGAAGATTTTAACTTCAAAATTTCACTTATGTTTTCCTAAGTAACATTTTAACCGTCCATTGTGGCCCAACCACTGAGGTTCATGATTTGTCCAAACTTGAATCTACGTCAATTGCAGATGCTTCCATAAATATGTACGACCAACAATAGCTTCACTGCTCTTGAGACAAAGATTTTTCAAGATTTTACCTGTATATTATATTTATTCTGCTTCAGACAAATTTGCAAATTGCTGATTGGATAAAAGCTGATCACATGACGCCCTGAAATTTTCCGTATTACGTCTCCGTTGAGGAGTAATATGAAAATTGGGCACGCGATTCCGTTCGCAGTGTTATTGTAAAAAAAATGGCGGCTAAGAAACGGTTTACATAGGTGGTTAAGTTAAATTTCTTGCTACCGTAACAATATTTTATGTTGATTTTTATTGGATTAAAACTTAATATTTTCATAATATGCACAAACATTTCTTATATTGGAAAAGGTCTTAAGCGGGATAAATTCGTAACACAGTCAGTTAATGACCGAATACGGATTTATACTGGGTGTGAATCCGTTTTAGGCTACTAATTGACTGTGTAAGTAAAAATATTTTACACTGAATTTACGACGGATTTTCCGTTATTTTCCGATAATGACAAGGAGCACACGGCGGGTGTGACCTGTCAGCAGGGGATGCTCACTATTCCATGGCGCCTGATTCCACCTCTGATGTTTCGGAGGTCCATGTTTGCTCTGCTCCAATTTTGCATTGTTTTATGGACTTTGTTATTAAATACGGTTTGTTATCTCAATATTCTTCCTATGTTAAACTTCCATTTTGACAAAATTGAATCTACACCACCTGGGGGTGTTTCCATATCAAGCAATAATGATTTTTCTGTTTTCAAAAGATATTTAAATAAAAAATTCCAATGTATTCCTTTGTAAAATTTTGATTAGGGATTGGAGCCCTATGCTCCTTTTTAGGGGTTAAATTCGAACAGACTTGAATCGCAAGTCTACTGGAGGATGCTTCCACAAGAGTTTCATATTTTCTTGCCCAGTTCTTATTTAGAAGACGTTTTGTAAAAGATGTCATAATTTTTCGCTCATTAAAAAATGTCTCCCTTTGCAAGAGGTTGTGGCCCGTCATTTAAACAAACTTGAATTCCCTTCACCTAAGGATACTTGTGTGGCAAGTTTGATTGAAATCGGCATAGTTGCATAGAAAATGAAAATGTGAAAAGATTACGACAACGCCAACGACGACAACAACGACGTGCTGACGACGACAGACAACGGAACAAATTTGATCAGAAAATCTCAATCGTACCTTTAGCTCAGGTGAGTGACAAAGGTCAAAAAAACTTTTATTCATAAAATGTGTATTAAATTCTTTCAGGATTAATTTAATTTGAACATAACCTAAGGGCTCCATTCTAGTGTTTACAGATATAATCGTGAACATTAATATTAAAAAAAACTTAAAACTTAAAGTATTCAGAAACTACTAGTACGTATTCGAAGATTAAATTTGCAATATCATTAAAAATAATCATGTATGAAAAAAGTATACTCGGCAAAATCAACAAAGATTTTTTTAAAAGCCTCATTTCTTCAGAAAATTACATTAGAGTATCCTGTTACTAGTAGCATGGGAATCGGCCATGCTCCATAATAATAGGTTCTACTGAAAGATAAATCTGGTAGAAAATTAGCAATGCAAGTCTAAATTGCTATGCTAAAACAGAAAAGTATGTAAACCAGTATCAATCACAGATGTCTTTTGTAGTTTCATTGTTTATTGGAAATCTCATTTCTGAGTAATCTCTGTTAATTTAATCTATAAACCCCGCCCATTGAGACTGCTTCTTTGTATTACTCTCAAGGGCCGTTAGGACTGCTGGTTACTGCTCTGGGACCGCTTTAGCAGACCAAGAAAGCAACCTCGACCGTGCTGGAACTGCGTTGTGTCAGGTTGGGTACGATTGGCACTGTAAGTACCTTTTATACACTGCACCCTATATCCAGTGTAATTTTATATGATGGACTGTCCAACGTGTGAACATTCTAGAGGTAGCATCAACATGTACATGTACATACATGTTCCCCAGCCCCAAATATGACTTAAATGTTGTTGGAAGTTCTGGTCTCAAAAGGCAAAATAAATATTGTAAATTAAAAACTGAAGCATCATCTTGATGTCAACTTCAAAGTACATGTACATGTACTTGTGTGTGAAAGTCTCATTAAATATAAGAGAGCAGACAGACTTACGGTCATCCAGATCATGATATACCCTCCCACTTTCAAAGCGGATTACATTAATAAAATAAAACTTATTTAAAGAATAATAATTTGATAATATTAAAATTTAAACCACATTAATATATTAAAAAAATGAAAATATATAATTACATAAACCAACTACTCATCTCATAATTTTAATACGTTTTCAACAGAATGATTTTTCCAGTTTTTTGAGACCGGTTCACTTTGTGGATCTTGCAAATTTAATATGCAACTTAACAATGATAAAGGTGAGGATGAAAAAATCAATAAACAATTCAATTTTGTAAAGAGAGCATTAACACAGACTTCTGAAAATTCAAGTGAAAATCTAGCACGAGTAATTCTCCCTGCTGATTGGCCACAGACCTTGCAACGAAATATTGATTGATTGGTATTATGACAATCGGTACCTGAGTGTTGGAGCGAAACATTGCCCATCGTTTTAGAACATCTTTGAGGCGATTTTCCTTCATCGTCTGAAATGAAACATCACATTGTTTTTAATTAGTATTTTACAAAGGGTTTAGTAATCCTATTTGCAATTGAAAATTGTTTCAATTACCTTCAAATTATCCAGATATTCCATTGCGTGTGCTTCAGTGCCGATCTGTATTGATTTCAAAGGTATATATGACAAGATTAGAACAGATAAGTGTAGAAGATAAATTGATTTATACATGAATAATTGTACAAGTATAGTATTATATATCTAAGAGATGTTTCATATACAAAAAAAGTAGTGAATCGAATTTGATTTTTCCTGTTCCCTTTACAAATACAACTTCATTTGATACCTTTAGGAAATGAAATAATTGATGAAAATCTTTGTAGAGAAGTTCTTCAACGTTAATTGTATCATTGGCTCCAAGTATGATGTGCCTTGAAAGAAGTACTTCCTATGAATATATATATGTGTATGTATATTTTAAATCACCATTCTGACCAATACATCTAGTATTTCTTATATCAGTCCAGTCCAATACGAAAAATCGTAATATTACTTAAATTTGTAATATAAGCAATTTCTAACTCTTCTAAGAGTTACTTCCCTTTTTCTGATACAACCTCCTTCTTATGTTCTCATCGTGGGTATGCATGCATTTTCTTTGTTTTGATGCATTTGATCCAAGTGCATACAGAGTCAGAGCCTAGCTAGTGAAAGTTGTACAAGTTCTCCCCCGTAACATCTCGTTGTTGGAGATGAGGGTTTGATTTTTAGGGTAGACTTCGGGAAAAAATATAGGGAATTTGCGATTATACAACACTGTGACAAGTTTGAGGATACATTGAAGTTTTATGGAAAATTCTTATATAAGAATAATAAAACAAAATTTTCACTCACCCATTACTACTGCTATTTTCTTCTTGCATTTTCATACATATGTACTTTTCGATTGACGTCATTGACCGAAATGACCACTTGATACTAGTACCATTGGGGCATAATGTATTTCTGACGTCATACTTTCCTTAACATCATTCAGTTTCTTTCAATGCTTATTTTTGTCTTACATTACGAAAACTCGTAATATAGTCTCTCACAACTTGCTATATTACGAGTTTTCATAATTTAACTATATTACGAGTTTTTGTAATATAAGAATTATATAACGATATTCTGCAATATTACGATGTCTAGTAATATTACTATAAAGAAGGATATGGAAATAACGAACAGTATTCAATCTCAACGTCCATTAAACAAATATACAAAATAAGAGCAGAGCAAAAACGGACCTCCGAAACATCAGAGGTGGGATCAGGTGCCATATTTAGTAACATTACGATTTTTCGTATTGGACTGGACAGTATATATAATATTAAAGAAAAATATGTCTGAAACCTTTAAGAAAAAACAACAATGTTAAAAATTTCTCTGAGAAATGGACTTTTAGTTGGTCACGTGATCTTATCCTGAGAAGCACGAATAGCTTCTCAGTAGATTTGATCACGTATTAACTAAAAATTAATATCCCCGTGAACTTTTTTACATTGTTGTATACTACTTATATTTTACATTTGATACGTCCCACAAATAAAATTCACACAGAATTGAACATTTTCTCTTCAATAGGTTCATCTAAGTAAGATATTTGCAAATGTAAATTTATATGCAAATAAACCAATATAAAAATACCAAACATGCATTCAAATTTCCGAAAGCCCAGAAAGCTCATTCGAGATTCGACGTTCGAAATTCCACATTCGAAATTCCACATTCGAAATTCGAGTTTCGAGATTCAAGATCCAGATTAACCAATTAAAAGCGGGTTAAACATGTTATTTCTCCCCTTTATAATGATTTTACTATCAAGAAATCGGTTAATATACATTTGTATATTTAAAATAAAAGAGTCATTTGATTAAATTCGATGCAAGAAAGAATGTTATATATATTAGGGGGAAATTTAAATAATCATTGGATTTTTGATCAGCAAGATATAATTCAATTCATATTATGGCTTCATAAGGAGTATTATATACTTTTGTATTGTCTACGGGGTTGATGACACATACATGTGTAAAAAAGTTATAAATAAGCGTCTAGTGTCTTAAGATTAACAATAACCCCACACCTACCCACCCCACCTGCCTTTTTTCCAAACACTTAGAAAATGTTACTTTGTAAAACTTGAAAGGCTACATAGTATTGATAAACAAAATTCGCGTACGTTTTCCTGATAAAGGAAATACATCAAAATTAAGTATTTAATTACTTATCTTCATCTACTGCTAAGGCTTCAATTTCTTGGATTGATTAAAAATTATATATACAATACAGATTAGCAATATGAATTAAAATACGAGGGCCAAAAATTACTCGGACCATTATTTACTCTTACAGACGTCATATAGTTATAAAATTTCACGGAAATATGTATCTGAAAGATTCTAATAAATTTTTGGCAAAATTTCTGTATTTTAGAAAAACTCTACTAAAATTATTGGTATGTTTATATCGTTGATGGAGAGGTTCGGTGCACGACAAAAAAATTGAAGCAATAGCATGTGGATTCAAAAATTTAACTCATCGATTTTCTAAAAGTCGCGATATTTTTCAACAATTTTCTCTAATGTACCTTTAAATTGTTCTATCATTATGTATTTAGATTTCGGACGTAATTTTTGAGTACTTATATAAATAAAGTGATTTTTCTCTGATGCAATTCCCGTGAAAACGATTGTGAAAATGACGTCTCCTGAATTGACGGCGCACCACACTTTTGTTGTTAAAATATGTGTAATGCTCGAGATATCGGCAACATAGCTCCAAAATATGCATAATAAAACATATAGTAAACTAGGCTACCCGGGACATTCGCCCACAAATAGCAAATTGAAATTTTAGACAGACCTCTGTAAAAAGGCTATACGGGAGGACGGGAAGATTATATACGAAAAGTTAACTTTATCCGGACTGTAAAAAACGTGATCGAGAGTCACCAATATCACACTATATCTCATAAGTAGTTTTTGGTTTTAAAACAAAAAAGACTATTCTTTACTTGTTTAGTAGATTTTAAGCTTCACAAGATGTGGTGTTTTGATGTTGAGTAGATAAGGTAACTCAAACTATACAGGTACTCAAGGGAAAATGTTGACAAAATGAAAGCTCAATGCTTGTGACGTCGAAGATTTTGCTGCGCCATGACTTAATGGTATGTCCTGAAAAATCACTCAAAAATAAAACCAATTTACAACATTTTGATATGAAGTTTTGAAGACCAAATAAGTAAAGATTCTTTTATATTATTTGTGAAAACTTGCCCGATTATGTCGTCAAATATTTCTTCTGTGCAACAAGTCCTCGTAATTTTTGAACAGTCTCCGTAAATACGGCATTTATTTTATCTTATATCAAATAGTAGAGTAGTATAAATTAGAGGCAGAACTATAGCGTTATGGTTTTATATCTTAGTCTCTGATGACCATATCGTTATGGCCGAAGACTAAAATATACTCGTTAAACCTTATTATACAATTATGGACTCTTTTGGTGTTCAATATAGTTTGTTATTCACCAGAAAAATATTCATATTGACCGAGGCGAAGCCGAGGTCAATATGAATATTTTTCTGGTGAATAACAAACCATATTCAACACCAAAAGAGTCCATAATTGTTTTATTATATAGTCGGGATTTGTATAGATAAGACATTGAAGGCTGTATGACGACACCATTTTCATTTGCGATCTTCCATTGTTGAAAAAAAAATCTCCAGATTACTATTTGTAACCTCCGTGTTTTCCTTTTCGAGTTTGGCTATGTGTATGACGTCCAGATGTTAAAAAATAATCCTGAAAAGGGTTTGAATAATCGTTTTCCTGCTCAGATACGTAGCTCGCTGCGGCCGTTGCATCCATTGTTTACAACGTTGTTTTGATATTTTGATTGTGACGTCACAATGCCGTTGCACTCGAATTGACCCTCCGGTGAATACGGCCTAACATCCGGTGAATATGTAGTGTTATGAACTGTTTGCGTTTGTATAGATTATATAGGGACTATAAATAGACTATATAATAATACGTTTTGTTCGAAGATTTAAATATACTCGGGAAACCTTAGGCCTAAACCGCTACAGTTTAAATCAGCAGTCAAGTCTCACTGTTCAAATGTAACCTTTATAAATGTACACCCTTGATTAACTGTGCAATGTAGAGACGATTCATAATATTTCATATCTAATTATAATCAAATACATTATTCACCCTCAGCAATGATGTGATAAAAAAAATAGTCGACCTACTTGTTCCGCAAGTCAACGATAAGACCATAAAATATTCTATATTCTTTATTTACTGCTTTGTTTAATGAGAAAAATAAGATTATATACGTATTTGTCAAAATGTAATCCAAATTTTATTTTTATTTCGTTTTAATATATAAAACACATTTTTTCTTCAAATATCATTTTAGCAAATAACTCATTTGTTGTAAATATATTCAACGATTTCGTGATAGTAAAACATAATAAAGGGTAGTAATCAAATGTTGAACCCGCTTTTGATTGGTTTGTTTGGATCTTGAATTTCGAAACTCGTATTTCGAACCTCGAATCTCGAATGAGCCTTCTAGGCTTCCGTACAAATTGAATATGAAGAAGTACATGTACTTACTTCAATAAAAGTGTTTAAGCTCTCCATTATCTCGTAGAAAATATATTTCTTTTGTTTATCACATGCCTTGAAAGAAATAATTGAAAATTTGATATTATTTTTTGAAATAAATAAAGACATCGAAAACGAATATTTTCCGTATCAAGAGAGAGAGAGAGAGAGAGAGAGAGAGAGAGATACCTGTAACATTTTCGCGAATTCATTAGCATAAGACTTTGAAATCTCCATTTGTTTGTTTTTCAAAATTTGTGTAACTATCTGTAAAATTCAAAATATGCAGATTTATTTATTTGGGTATTACAAATGTACATGTATATGTAGTCATAGGTGAGTTACAAAGAAAAAAGGCACATGTGTTCACACGAAAAGTTTAATTCGAAGAAAATAAATGCAAAGTAAAATAATGCTAATTAATGCCCTGTTCACACGAAGAGTTTAATTTGCAGTAAATTAATGCAAAGTAAACTAATGCAAATTAAATCGTATTCACACGACAGCTAATGCGAAGTAACCTAATGCGAATTAAAATTTTACATCTACAGCCCTGCGTCACCACGGCTATTATGACGCCATTTGCAAATCATATCACCTTTTGCAGATGCAGATCTATTTGACATAATAGCATTTTAATGATTAACAAAATGTTCCTTAGTTTTTCACTCAAAAATAGCACGTCCCGTGGGGATCCGGCTTAGAATAGGTCCTCAGTACCCCCTTGCTTGTCGTAAAAGGCGACTAAATGGGGCGGTCCTTCGGATGAGACCGTATAAACCGAGGCCCCGTATCACAACAGGTGTGGCACGATAAAGATCCCTCCCTGCTCAATGGCCCTGAGTGCCGAGCATAGGCCCAAATTTGCAGCCCTTCACCGGCATTGTTGACGTCTCCATATCAGTGAAATATTCTGGAGAGGGACGTTAAACAACATACAATCAATCAATCAATCAATCAATCAAAAATAGCACAAGTACCTTTACCTACAAGTGGCATTAGACTAAATTTTGCCATTACGTATGCGTCAGAATTTAATTCGGATTAGCTTCGCTCAGCGATCACACGGAGTTAATGCGAAGGAATTTAATTTTTAAAAGCTATATCGCAGTAACTTAACTTTACTTAACTGAGGGGATGATGCCAAAACCACTAGAATTAATGGAATCTTTAAAAATCTTTTTATTTCTGGACATCAAGCAGTCAAACTGTTAGTATAAAAGTAATAAGAATTCGGTCCTCTACCAAAATTGTGAAATTCATTGCCCAATGATCAGGGGTTCTAGTGCTAGGGTGGGGTTGTATTCATTTTAAGTAAACAGAACCAGGGGAAATCTTATATTGTACACCAGTAGGGAGACCAGGGGTCATCTTATATTGTACATCAGCAGGGGGACCAGGTGGTAAAGATGCATTTTTTTTAAATCTTCATCTCTGCTTTTTGATATTAAACTAAAGGTACTGTGAGCAATCAGCTCACTAAATGATACACCCGCCTCCCATAATGTCAATGTGTTGCTATATATTGTTTCACGGTCATGTGTAAAGAGGATTGATTGATTAATTGCATACCGTTTAACGTCCCTCTCCAGATTATTTCACTGATATTGAGACGTCACCATTGCCGGTGAAGGGCTGCAAATTTAGGCCTATGCTCGGCACTCACGGCCTTCGAGCAGGGAGGGATCTTTTTCGTGCCACACCTGCTGTTACAGGGGGCCTCGGTTTATACGGTCTCATCCGAAGGACCGCCCCATTTAGTCGCCTTTTACGACAATCAAAGGGGTACTGAGGACCACCTATTCTAACCCGGATCCCCACGGGGCGTGTAAAGAGGAATAATTCGTCGGTGTAAAGAGGAATAACTCGTCCTATCAAATGTTATCCAGAAGCTTCTATGTGACGTCTTAGGTAAACATATAATGGCAATGTCCATGTTTTGCTATTGGAAACCTAAAGTACGTGTCCAATAAAAAAAGTAAAATAGGAGGTGCACAATGCAATATGTAATAAAGATTCTATGAAAGTTTCATTACATTTCACTCAGTAGTATAAAAGGGGTTGCGGATAAGAAAAAAAGGCGTAACAGAGGGACGGACGGACAAACGTACAGACGGACGGTTGGGAATCCCGATCACTATATACCCTCCTACTTTTCAAGCGGGGGGTATAATAAAGTAACTATAAGCACATAGTTATGATAAGCAAGTGTACCACTAGTAAAAAATTGTGAATGTTATGGCCTCGGTGTCAGAGACTCAGGTTTTAAGGCGGGGCTCTATTGATTAAATAGTGAAAATGCATTGATTATTTGAAAATCTTCTTCTCTGCTCCTCAGTATAAAATAAACTCTCTAAGTATACATAATTTAGATGGGCAAGAATACTTTTACCAAAATTGTGAATTTTATGGCCCAAAGGTAAGGAGTTCTGGTATTAGTGCGGGGCTCTATTGATTATATAGTGAAAATACATTATTTCTTTGAAAATCTTTTTCTCTGCTTCTGCGTATTGAATAAACTAACTACAAGGCTCATAGTAATCAAAAGCTTTGAAGTGAATGACCTTTCTTGATTTACTATAGAAAACCACAAATATACCATCTTTAGTTGTTTAGGAAAAACAGAAAAAAGCTTCTTTAAAATAACGTGTATGTACGAACGACAATGTGCAAGTGAAGTTGCCATGGTCCAAGCTGGTTGTAGTAAGGGAAAGTTGTATTTCCTTTGTTTGTATTTGTTTATTTTATGTAAAACTGTTAAAAATACCGTCAGGAAAATACACAAAGCTTACTTGTATTCCTTATGATCATTAAAAATTGCTAGATATTCAAGAAATACCACTTAACCACCCTAGAGTTTATCCAGAAATTCACTCAAACCGGAACCGGAAGTGCCCATGGTCAAGGCATATACACGTACTGCAACGACACCTCAACAGGGCTACTACATAAGAATTACTAACTATTGTAGAAGGAACCTATCTGCAAGTGCAATTGCTCTGCACTCATTAGCTCTGCACTCATTAAAAATTAATTCAAGTCTCCTTAATTATCCAAATTTTTAGAAACAAACTGGAAGGGTGGGGAATGCGTTTAAGAAGACCTTATGTACTGTTGGATTAATATTGGGTACAAATAATTTCGGTAATCTTCAATGTCATCCACATCTCAACCCTATAGAACACAAGATGGACCAGAGATTTAGCGCTTTTCCACCAGCAGAATCTGGCGATAATAAAGAGGAAGACCTAGTCCAGACACAGAATAACCTTCCAAAAAGATTTTTCTTTAATTGTGTGAACTTTTTGAGAAGCAATTGTCTTGATCTTAATTCGTTTGCACGGAGGATAAAAACAGTATTGAACGTTGCGAATTCTTAATTCTAGGGTGCCTTTACTCTTCTGCATTTTGCGTTAAAGTCCTTCAACATAATTAGATTAAGTGAAAAAAAAATGTTTTGTTTCTTTTTATCCTGTATAGTTTTCAATTTATCTTGTCTGAATTATTTATTATGAAAGCAGTGTAAAACAAAAACTTACGTGGGGACTTAGAAATTTTGACTAGTATATATCGACTGACTGACCCCTGCCATATTCTATGGTTTTGTTCTTTGTATATTCGTGGATTTCAGCGGTAAAAGTTGTTGAATCGTACGGTTTAGATATCAATCAATGATTTGGGATGAAAAAGTTTGCTGAATTTGACTGTTTATTTTTTCACATTTTAACAGGGCCCATAAGTGCACTCGTTCTTCATTTATTTAGAGAGTTACCATTCAAATCTCGTGTCATTGTCATCGTAATCTACACGTTCATCATACTCCTCGTCAGAACTAATTGCACATGTTGCACACGGCTTAAAATGGAATGGTGCAATTGGACTTGGTCGGTTCCAACAATTTTCATCGCAGCTTGAAGAACCACGAAATAAATTAAAAGACAATTCCTCTTCGGAATATCTGATTCTACGTAAATTTCACCACAGACAGCTCTCTTTCGGCCATATCAAAAAACAAACATGCATTTGTATGCCAAACACATCGTGTGACGTCATAAAAATTTTTGTACATTTTACTGGAAGTCACAATTAACTGGATTATTGATCGTCGAGGCAGGAGCAAAAAAATGGGCACGTTTATCTAAAATTATCTCGAAAAATAAGATTTCTTTTTTTAACATTTTTTTACTTTGATTTTTTTTTATTTCCTTTCATTTAAAATGTTTTGTTTTACTCTATGGCGTGTGCATGTCTTTCAGTTCCTATAAAGCATATAGAACAAGCCTACGATAAAATGGTCTTACCTTTCTGATGTCTCCTCGAGTCTGTTTCCAAGATTTAATTTATATGCATTTTGAACACCTCTTTGCGCATGACTCAATGCTTGAATAAATTTGCTTTATTAAAGCTTGCAGAAGCCTATCAACACACAAATTGAATCTTGGAAAATGGGGGTAAGTTTTTCATTCACATATAAGAAAAGTATACATTTCGCTTTTAAAAGATTTATTTTTAATAATGACGATGTTAAATTCTATTTGGTAGGACAACACTGAACATATTACACATCAGGATCTGAACAAGGCGTTTAATCGGGTGAAAGAAAAGTTCAATGGGTTTAACGCTGTGAAAAAGAGTTTCCGCGAAATTCGCAACAAGCTTCATGAAATTGTCAGGTCGTTCTCAAATAACGTAAGAGTTGTTATCTATGTGGATGATATTTTGGATGATCCTATCATATTAGAAGCAGGAAATGCTGAAAACGAACTTTTAATAGCAATCGACCCCGAAGGAGAATATACCTACAGCTGGCCTAAGAAAACTTGGTCGAAGGTATTTTCAGATGTCTGGGAAGGGCTAAAGTCGTTTGTTGGAAGTATACTTTCGTGTATTGCTTCATTCATAGGAGGTCTGCTGCTTAAAATTGGAGAGACGTTGTTGCCGTCAATCGGCTTTGGAGAAGCAAAAGCATTGCACAATAAATAATCTGATTGTCGGATTCTCTAAAGAAACAATGGATTGTTTACTGATATTATAGTACCAAGGTATTTTTAAATAATTGACTAAAGTTTTTCTGTAGCTAATAGTTTTATCAATGTAATAAATATAAAGTTTTCAAATTGCTCTATTTACGTTCTCATACATGCATATTTGATGAATGAAAGAAATGATAATTTGAAAGCTCACATATTGCGTCAAACGTTTGTAAACATGTATATCGATGTTATCACAAAAAAAAGATTCAAGTCCCTTGATCCAAAAAAAAGTTAAAAAATAATTTTTCATGTAATTCAAAGTATCTAGAGTTAGAAAGGAAAATTTTGAAAGAGTGTGTGCATTTTCATTAGGGGCCATTAAATTTGTAATTTTAAAAATAGCACTATTGCCCAGTCGATAATGTATTTAAATTGTTTCATTTTTAAACATGTTAAAGGATTTAATCTATTACAATATATTTTGTATTCTAGAGAACCTCCATCTGCTTCAAAATCCCTGATCCAGGGGTCATAGATGCTGTTGGTTAACATTGTTGAAATTGAATTGAAAGTGGTTTCAGAAATGAGAATGAAAAAAATCCTATATTAACTAACGTTACCGTAGGGGTGTATTAGATGTGCATAAATAGATATTCTAAAGGACTTTTGGAAAGTTTGAAATATTTTTTTTCCCTAAAATCAATAATATTTTTATTCGACTTTTCAGCGCTTTTCACGAGAATTTAAGTTATGACATTTTCTTTACAATTGCTTTTCTAGTAAAAATGTAGCTCGAAATATAACTAACCTTGCCAATGGTCAATTGCAAAATTATTTTGTTAACGCATTCTAATTGTAAAACTGATAATTTTTCAAGATATTCTAAATCTAAAATTATAATATAATTAAATGTTCCTGGACAAAAGATCAGCATGCGTAACCAGGGGTTTTCAAAGGATATGAAATTTTGAAAATTTTGCTTTATTTAAAGTAGATTGTCTTTCTACAATCTCTCGAATTCTCTTGGATTCTAAACCCTAATTAGCAGAATTATTTTTGTTTTATATGAGACCAATTTTATTCTAAAACTTATGCATGAAAAGAAGAAAAACACTGTCTTGCTTTTTCCTTCTACTTAACATTTCTATTTATAGAAATGTTGCTGTCCATTAAGAAAAAAAAACTGCAATACTTGGACCATATGCATGTCTTCCTAAATTCATAGAAAAAATCTAGAGTTAGTGATTATACAAAGGTGTTCATTTTTTGTACATATACGAGTATCTTGTAATTTTTGTCGATATTTAAGTCTACTTAGTTAGGCTGTAAAAGTCATGACTTTGAATTGATATGAATGTGACATGTCGATCTAGATATCAATCACAGATGGTACGTAGCCTTTAAGATCAACAACACAATTTGAAAGTTTATAGGTATCGTAATAGTTGAATTTTAAGTCTATTGGAAAATCCTGCAAAGGACGAGAGCCTTCGGGCGTTAGAACCTTATCTATTTTAGCAGTAAGAGAACGAGAAAGAGGACTGATTTTTTCCACTCTCTAGATACAGTTTCTCCTATTGCTCTCTCCGTGAACTTTAAAAACTCGACCACCTATTTGCAACATAAAATATTTCACATCTATATCATAGCAAGTTTTCAACAAAAGTTTTCGGAAAAGCAAAGTTTGGAATTAACCAATGATAAAAAGTATGCATAAGAGAATATTTCGTCCTGATATCGTGTGATATTGTAAGCAATGTAAGAAAATTTTAAAATGCCCCCGTAGTATACTGCGGAGCGAGGCTAACTTTTTCTTTAAGAAATAATCTTGAATTTAACTGTCTGCAGTGTGACCTAGACTCTTTCCCCTTTTCAGAAACAGCAAGCTAAATCCATCCCTGTATGTGAGTACAAGAGTGTCACTTTCTCTATGTCTTTTTATAATAACTGAATGGTTAGTAAAAAACGCCTACAATCAAACAAATTTTCTTAGCTCGCCAGACAGGTTTTTGAAGATGCGACTGAAGTCTCCACTTACATGTGTATGTAGACCTATTTTATCTTTCAAGCAGAGGTTAACATTTCATTAACCACTGTTTACATTTTCTACACTAGTGTGATACTATTTCAATTGTAGAATTGGCCTATAAATTTGTCATTAAAAAATCGGTCAATCTCGATAGATGTATCCGATAACGGCAGGGACTAGATTTATACGGAAGATTCTATGACTAGAAAGACGGATAGAATACGTGTAACACAGAAATATTGTACCTAGTATTATTTTTTATATTTCTCCCTGGAAGATCCCCTACATGGAAAAACCTTGCTACAAGCCTGAATCAAGCTACACAGTAAAATATTGATAAATTATAAATTGATTGCTATCTTTTTGAGAACTTTCATGCAGAAAGCTAATTGCAAGTAAACATGGTAAAGACTTGATTTTAAATCCAAGTAGTTGAAAATGTTCAAGCTGTAATGCAGTCTGTATAAGTTCGTCCTACATATTTAAAAGGTTTGTACCATACAATTGTGTTTGTTTTTAAAGTTATATGTATAAAACATATATAAGGAACTTTGTTACGCCAAAGAATACAAAGAATACGATGACAATTTACATATTTTAGAGGTCATAAATGATTGGCATATTCTAATGAGATAAGGGCAATCTCGAAGGGTAAGTTATCTTGGAGGCAAACTCTCCAATATCTCATCACAATTTGTCATATATATATATTGACAATTGTATGGTGAGAACCTAGTAAGTTGTTAGAACTTGTGTTCAAACCATTTGTATTGTATTGTTTTTATACAATAAAATATGTTCAAACCAATAAAGCATCGTTTGAAAAATAGCATAGGAATAAATTAACGTTAAGCGATAAGGAAATGTCTTCAATTTAATTTTTAAACTATTTGTGATATTACCCATCTGTTTTCGTTTAAACCTTTCTTCACATTTTCTTAATTCGATTTTAGATACCTTTTTATGCATGGGTCTTTGCAATTTATGTCACTTTGTATAGTAAGTATATTGTGTGGTTGTCATCATGCCACAATTTTAAAGTTGCTGAATGGGATCCCATTGGAAAAAGGCTTTTATAAGTTATCCCTAGATTTAGAATATCCAATACATATTTATTCAATTGGTTTATAATTACACCGTTATAATTCTTTTGAAAGTAATGTTTTAACATTCATTCCTTAAATCATGTCAAGCAATCTTCAAAATGTATATCCATAAATAACAATGAAGAATACATATTATTATTATTATGCAATGACTAAGCCTATACATATTACATTTGTTAATTGTAGAGTCTGTTAAATTTACGACATTTTTCTCTTAGTCATTTATATTTAAGTGAATAGACTATTATTCTGGCATAGTAGTTTAAATTTGAACTGATTCCGAAATAGGCATACGCAGTTCTTCTTTCTTATCTACTACAAGAGCTCGCAATGACATATAAATCCTGCACATTCGTTCCACATGACGGTTTTAATATTAGTTGGTCCTTGTGGCATATACATATCATAAATCATGCATGTTTATCTTACGCTGTCAATCTCTATACAATTTACTTCTTTGTACAAACATTTGCATTCCTTTAAATTGGGAAAGATATACCTGAGATTGATATCGAAAATATTTGGTACTTATATTGTAATAAGTCAGATCCAGGCAGAATTTATTTTGTCATGCACAAGAATACCAGAATGACAATGAAAGAATAAAATCTGTAAATCGATATACTTTAATCGTGTATAAATGTAGGGCTTATGTACAAAAAGGGTTAATGCAATGACGTCTAGAGAGAACAGATTTATCATTGAGACAAATGCTGATTTATATTTTTCATACTGACTGTAAGTCCATTGTTTATTCACAGATTTTGCCGTTAGTTTCCGATCATGACAAGGAGCATACGGCAGGTGTTATATTGTTTAATGGACTTTGATATTGAATACTGTTTGTTATATCTCCAAATCCTTCATTTGGCGAACAAAGATAAGTTTCTTCCTTTAACGAATGTTTAGTTCTAAAGTTGTCATTACTTCAAACAAGAATGGTATAATGTTATGCAAAACATTATATTATTATCAATTTCCGATCGTATGAGCACCGTGGCAGCAAACTCGAAAAAACATTTGTACTGTGTCCATGAAAATATGAAAAAAAAGCTTGAGGTATTGTTCCAGTATGAATAAAGCTAATAAAATTGGTTGCATTAATCAATATGTTTCAGTAGAGTTTTTGTTTGAATACATTTTGTATCAAATGAACAGCCTTTTCGTGGGGATTTTTAAGGTAATTAAATGAATAGGCGTAAATGTACGGCATTGTTCCAATATAATTAAAGCTATTAAAATTGGTTGCATTAATCAATACATTTCGGCAGAGTTTTTGTTTGAATAATTTTTTTATCCAATAATCGGTCTTTTTCGTTGGGCGTTTAAGGGTAATTGAAAAAAATCAATTTATCAGTGTGCATATTTACTCCTTTTATCCATGACCAAAATGCAATAACAGTCCCTGAAGTATAAAATGCATAACACAGTATAAAAAAAATTGATAATAAACGTAAATGAATGCAATTGTAACTTTTCATGTTTTCACTAAGTGGGTGGAAAGGGGGATAGAGGAGAACATCTACATCTGTTCAAAAATTAAATGCGGAATATTGTAAAGGAACCAATCTAAAACTAGATGCTGCCATGTGACAGTAATACACGCACTTATGTGTTTGCCTCTAACTACAGTTAACCAAAGTTCTTTGTGTTAACTTTAATAAATGTATTTATTTAAACACTACTTTACAGAATGGTATGATATTTTCAAATTATTACAACAAATGAGTCTTCTCAACAATTGTAGAAAGAAAATAAAATATCCCCGATAAAAGGAATGTTCCGTGACAAGGCTTAAGAATAATGAATTGGTACTTGGCGGCATGTTTTTTGTATAATTAGCATCTTTTTGTGATTACGTGTATTATTAAGTTTTGAAAATGGATTTCTCTAAAAAAAAAAAAAAAAAGAAAAAAAAGAAACTCAAA